AACGCTTGATCAGTTGTCATGTCGGTGTGGTACTTCCAATCTCAACTGCTCGTATTGTCATTTCCCATCAGTTATTTGATATTTGTTGCGGTCAAAGGGCAATACAAACTCGTCACTTAGAACAGTTAATGAGCGCTTTATGTGAAAGCAAATTTTGACAGACATATCATTTTTATTTACTTGCTGAAACCAAACTGCTATATTGATCGGCTGCGCGTTGGTCTCCCCGGTTCTGTATCGACGACTGGACTTCGAACTTCTATAAATATAACAATAAATATAAATATAAATATAACAAATTTTTCATGTTTACTTGAAGTAATCAGAAACTCCTTATTCTTGCGTAGGAATATGGGAACAAACACGTATTTCGGAGAAAAGCGTAGTGAACCAGAGATTTATATCGACTATATGTAAGCCTACAGTGTAGAATGTATACCCGAAAATCGATTAGGATATAGACTTGTACCCAATGGAGGTAACACAGAAGTGCGGCGGTCTTTCCATGAGAACAAATACAATTATTCGCACTTGTAACGTCTTCGGACGTTTCCTCTTCAGTGTTATACAATCTCTCAACGCGAATCTGGGTGAAGTGTCTTCTGCTCGGAGGAATGTATATGATTAAATATAAGGAGAGACTGGAAGGGATGATAAAACAGACCAAGAATGACACCCAAACACATTTACATGAGTTGTAATTAGTAAGGGTAGCATTAGGATATCCTGGCACATCAGTAAATTGTTACTGTGTGACAGATGAGGTCTGTTTTACAGGAATAGTAATTTTAATGGAATGCTGGAATATAGGACCCTTGAGTGAAACCGCAGCACTCCAAAATGTGAATTGTACCAGACCTAATAAAGTATTCATATATTCAAATATAATTGGTCACTATATTGTAAAGATACATTAAATGTGATTTTGAGAATAATCTGAACAAAATGCCGATTTTTTTTAAAGCAAAACTATTCCTTTCTCATCCAAATAAGAAAACGCCCATTTTAATTTCTTTCTAGTGAAATTGACGACTAAGACAGCTTCGTACTTGGGACTTATTCTTGCTGGTGTTGTGAAACAGACGACTGAGGCAGCTTCGTACTTGGGAATTATTCTTGCTGGTGTTGGAGTGACAGCAGTGATATGTTATAAAGTGTTTTGTGAGTTGTTTTCCAGCAAAAATTCAAACAGTGTATATACAACATCTCTTAAGAAATGCTGTGCAGATCCACGAGTAATAGACTCATTAGGTGAACCTGTAAAAGCTTTTAGAGATGAAATACGACGAGCAAGTATGCGTCGTGTCAGGTATGTTTATGTTAACACACTGGCTCACCAATATATCTGATCGTGCTTAATTTATTCCCTTTATAGGTAGGATAATAGGGGATATAATTTATGTCTTTGTAAAATTCTGGTGAGGTAGCTTATATCAAGTTTTCACCATCATCTTTTGTACCAGCATTGAGCCTCATTTATCTGCTACAAGTATTAAAAGGTAGAATCTTTGTCTTAAAGTAATTTATTTTAATTACTCCATTCTTAATATTATACATGACTGTTCCACTTATAGTCTATCATGTTCCATCTATAATGCAACAATCAATAACATTGATTCACACTTTAATCCATACAATGGTCGTTATGTGCATAAGATGTTATTAAAACTATTAAAATATATACTCTTTATATAGCACTACATGTTTCAACGATATAAGGCCCACTTATATGAGGAATCCTAATGCACTGCGCACTAATCGAATATCGTTCTTTTTATTACTCTCATTTCGTTCTTGAAGTTTTCTTCTTGTCTTTTATGTAGGGTAGCTGTTTTTTCTGTAACGTATAACATGAACTTTAATTAATACAATTTTACTTTGTTTGATTATTTTTCTTGTGTATCTAAGTGTGTCTAAGTGTGAATTAATGTTATTGATTGTTGCAGTATAGGTGGAATATTTGATAGACTATAAGTGGAACCTCACTGCAACAGGATGCTTAAATATAATGTGACTGTTCTTTGATGGCACTTTGGTCTTGTATTATTAATGTTTTGCTTCTAATCTTACATGAGATTTGGTACATGGAATGTTAGAAGTACACGGTGTGTCCAGGATCTGTTAGGACTCTCTCTCTCTCTTTTTTTTTCCCCCCCCCTGCAATGCCATCTGTTGGCGAGTTGTGGCATTAAGATTCTTGAAGTTTAAGCTATGGCTGTCTATAATTTCAAAGAGCAAGCATCGCTTCATCATGTGTTCTGACCGTTCTGATGCTCATCAGGAAATGGCGGCTGAGAAGAGAGCCAACATCAAATTTTGTTTGAAGTTACGCAAAACAGCCGAAGTAGCATACAAAATGATGAAAAGTGTGTATGGTAGTGATTGTTTGAGTCGCTTGAACATTTTTCAATGGTATGCTATATTTTGTGATGGCAGGGAGGACATTGAAGATGCTCCACGTGCATCAAAGCCGAGAACAAGTCACACTGCAGAAAATGTGAAAAAAGTGACCGAAAACCTTGCATCAGACAGATGTGTTTCTGCAAGATTCATCGAGGAGCTTTTGGGAATACCAAAAAGTACTAAGCATCAAATTTTGACTGAGGATTTGGGCAAATGGAATGTCTGTGCGCAGTTTGTACCGCTCGCACTATCAGATGATGAAGTACATGCTAGAGTGGAACATTTAAAAGACATGTTACGGTCAGCCCAAAGTCATACAAAATTTGCAAAATCGATTGTCACTGGTGACGAGACATGGTGTTTTCAATATGAGCCTCTCACAAAGTGGCAGAATGCAGCGTGGTTGAGCCCAAAGAAGCTGAAACCAAAGAAAGTTCACATGCAAAAGAGTCGAGTAAAGACACTGCTAACCGTTTTCTTCAATTCCAAAGGAATCATTCACAAGGAATTTCTGCTAGAAGGTCAAACAGTGAATTCTGATTATTATCTTGGAGTCCTCAGAGAATTCTTCGAATTCGACCTGAATATTGAGATCAAAGTTCCTGGTTGCTCCTCCACGACAATGCCCCACCCCACAAATCGAAGATCGTGCGCAGTTTTTTAGCCAGAAAAGGGATCACAGTCCTTGATCATCCTCCGTATTCACCAGATTTGGCCACAGGAGATTTCTGGTTGTTCCCAAAAGTTAAGTTGGCGATGAAAGGAGACCGTCATGACACCATCCAGGACATCCAAAGGGAGTCTACCGCAGTTTTAAATGCGAATCCACAAAAAGGAGTACAGTGACTGTTTTCGAAAACTTTTCAATTGATTCAGAAGGAATAAAGAGTGAAATTTTGAAAATAATTCACGTCTTGTATTTTTAATGAACACATTCCTAACAGAACCTGGACACACTGTGTATGTATAGGGCAGGTTCACTCAGGGCAATGGTGGAAGAAATCTTAAAATATAAGTTAGAATTAATGGAAGTAGAGGAGGTCAAATGGGATGGAGGTGGCATTGCACCAGCAGGCAAATATACATTTTTTCTATAGAAAGGGTAATGAAAATCATGAATTAAATAAAGTTTTTTTTGTACATAAGAGAATCCTATCAGCAGTTAAGAGGATAGAGTTCATTAGTGATAGGATATCATATATAATACTAAAAGGTCGCTGGTGTGATATAATCATTATGAATGTTCATGCCCCAACAGAAGATAAAATTGATGAAATAAAGCACAAGTTCTATGAAGAACTAGAACATGTATATGATAAATTCCCGAAGTACCCTATGAAAATACTGTTAGGAGATTTCAATGCCAAAGTAGGGTGGAAGACATTTTCAAACCAATGATTGGGAATGAGAGTTTGCATGAAATTAGTAATGATAATGGAGTTAGAATTGTAAATTTGCCACACCAAAAAATCTTACTGTTAAAAGTGCAATGTTCCCACAATGTAACATCCATAAATTTATTTGGACATCTACTGATGGGAAGATACACAATCAAATCGACCATATTTTGATAGATAGGAGACAGCACTCAGGTATACTTGATGTCCATTCATTCAGGGCAGCAGATTGGGTTACTGACCACTACCTGGTGGTGGCAAAGGTTAGGGAAAGACTGGCAGTGAGCAAACAAACAGTGCACACAGTTCATATGGAGAGGTTCAATCTCAAGAAATTAACTGAGGTAGAGGGTAAAGAGCAGTATCGTGTTGAAATCTCCAATAGGTTTGCAGATTTGGAAAACTTGGACACTGAGATGGAAGTTAAGAAAGCTTGGGAAACTATTAGAGAGAATATAAAAATTTCTGCCAAGGAGGGTCTAGGTTGGTATGAATTGAATAAACATAAGCCATGGTTCGATGAAGGATGCTCAAAATTATTAAACCAAAGAAAACAAGCCAAATTGCAATGGTTACAGGACCCAGGCAAGTTAAATGGGGATAATCTGAACAATATAAGACGTGAAACCAGCAGGCATTTCAGGAACAAAAAGGGAATATCTGAAAGACAAATTGATGAGCTTGCAATGAACAGTAAGAACAAGAACATTAGAGACCTATATACAGGAATAAATGACTTTAAGTGGGGTTACCAACCTAGCAGTAACTTAGTGAAGGATGAGAATGGTGATCTGCTTGCAGATTCCCACAACATTTTGAATAGGTGGAAGAACTACGTACTCTCAATTATTGAATGTACATAGGGTCAGTGATGTAAGGCAGATAGAAGTGCATACAGCTGAACCGTTAATACCTGATCCTAGCCCTTTTGAGGTTGAAAGTGCTATTGCAAAATTGAAAATGTGTAAATTGCCAGGAGTGATCAAATTCCAGCAAAACTTATTCATGTGGGAGGCGAAATATTACACTGTAAGATCCATAAGCTAACGACTTCTATTTGGCATAAGGAAAAATTGCCTGATCAGTGGAAGGAGTCTATTATTATACCAGTTCACAACAAGGGTGATAAAACTGACTGTAGTACGTAATTATCGGGGGATATCGCTGCTATCAACTTCATACAAAATTTTTTCTAATATTCTTCTCTCAAGGTTAAGTCCATACATAGATGAAATTATTGGGGGTCATCGGTGTAGGTTTCGACATAACAGATCAACTGCAGAACAGATCTTTTGCATTCGTCAGATATTGGAGAAAAAATGGGAGTACAATAACACAGTACATCAGCTATTTGCACACTTGAAGAAAGCCTATGATTCAGTTAGGAGGGATGTATTGTACAATATTCTGATAAAGAGTTTTGGATACCCATGAAACTAGTTAGGTTGATTAAAATGTGTTTAAACGAAACGTATAGTAAAGTGCATATATGTAAACAGTTGTGTGATAAATTTCCTATCCAAAATGGTCTAAGACAAGGGAGATGCTTTATCGCCACTCCTTTTCAGCTTTGTTTTAGAATATGCCATTAGGAAGGTCCAGGAAAACCAGGTGGGACTGAAATTAAACAGGACACATCAGCTGTTGGTCTGTGCTGATGATGTGAATCTACTGGGTGATAATACAGATACCATAAAGGAAAATACACAAACATTAATTGACGAAAGTAAGGAGGTTGGTCTAGAAGTAAACACAGAGATAACTAAGTATATGTTGCTGTCTCATCACCAAAATACAGGGAAAATCATGACATAACAATAGGAAACAGATGTTTTGAAAATGTGGCACAGTTCACATATTTGGGAATGACAATAACAAATCAAAACCTGATTCAGGAGAAAATTAAGAGGAGATTAAACTCGGCAACGCTTGCTACCATTCAGTCCAGAACCTTTTGTCTACTTGTCTGCTGTCCAAAAACATAAAAATTAGAATATACAGAAATATAATTTTGCCTGTAGTTCTGTATGGATGTGAAACTTGGTCTCTGACATTAAGGGAAGAACATAGACTGAGGGTGTTTGAGAACAGGGTGTTGAGAATATTTGAACTGAAGAGGGATGAAGTGACAAGAGGTTGGAGAGAACTGCACAATAACGAGCTTCGTAACTTGTACTCTTCGCCAAGTGTAATTAGAATGATCAGGTCAAGGAGAATGAGATGGGCAAGGCATGTAGCATGAATGGGGGAGAAGAGGAATTCATATAGGATATTGGTGGGAAAGCCAGAAGGAAAGAGACCACTGAGAAAACCAAGGTGTAGGTGGGTGAACGATATTAAAATGGACTTTAGAGAGAGAGGATGGGATGGTACGGATTGGATTGATCTCGATCAGGATAGGGACCAGTGGAGGGCTCTTGTGAACACGGTAATGAACCTTTGGGTTCCATAAAATGCTGGGAAATTCTTTAGTAAGCTGCAGATTTGGCTTCTCCTCAAGAAGAGCTCAGCTCCATAAGTAAGGAAATTTATCAGACAACTGTTTACCTATACAGACTTTAATATATGTTTTGTTTAAACACATTTTAATCAGCCTAACCAGATTCATGGGTATCCCAAACTCTATCAGAATATTGCACAATACTTCTGTCCTAACTGAATCGGTGTGAATATATTGAATAAGCAATCATGGATAGCCGACAAGCGGTGGTCCTCCAGCTTGGGGGTTGGTCATGGGGCTACAACTAATCATAAAAAATAATCCAGTTACGAAAATAAACACAAAGCCTCAGACCTGGACAGATCCCCTGGATAAACGACCTACTCTAAATAAAATGGACATATAGTGACCACTGTGACAACCTGTGAAAGGTGCCTACAGAATGATGAATCAGCCACACATATCCTATATGATTGTGAGGCTACAGCTTACTTAAGATTTTGTCTGTTTGAGTCAGTTCTTCATGGAACCAAGTAACTTTTATGATGCCCCGTAAATAAAGTCCTACATTTCATTTGAAGTGTAGGATTAATACATGGTTAATCTAAAGGGTAAGCACAATAGATCATTGAGGAATGAATGCAGTGCGAGGGCCGGATTTTATGGCCCACCCCTTACACACATACACATAACATAATTTTTTCATATGCAACATATTTTCTTTTACAGCCATCTTTTTTACAAACGTGATGGCATCAATTACCTAAGTATGAATTACTATATTCAAGGAAGCCGAAAAAGGGGCACAGTGCACTTGGAAATGCGTGAGGTGAAGTTCTTTTAATTGCTTTAAATAGACTTGCTCTTAAATAAACAATTTTTTGGAACCTGTAAGGCAGCCCTGTCCAACGCGGTGCCGATGGTATATTTTTCTGGCGCCCTCTATAACCACATATAATTGAGCCGATTTTTAATATTAATTCAAATTGTAAGACGAGACATTTTTGAACGTCTGAGTAATGTTAAATATTTTCGAAAAATTTTATTATTATTATTATTATTGTTGTTGTTAGTAGTAGTAGTAGAAGAAGTACTAGTAGTAGTAGTAGTGTGTGGTAGCGCCCGCACCTCCATAGGCATCAGTGAATTGTGCCCGAGTACATAAGAACGTTGGACAGCACTGCAGTAAGGGAACCTGTTCCCATTTGCCATGATAGAACGATATGCATTTAACCCATTCACAGCTGTAATATGAGAGAGTGGTATCTTTTAAAACATTCTCTTCTGTGTAGAGAAACCAGTTTTCCTGGTTGTAATGCCCAGAAAAATGAAACAAGTTTTTTTTATGTTTTAGATTTTGATTGCCTCTTTTTTTTTTTGGTTCAATTTATTAGGATAATCTTTTATTTAATAGTGTACTAAACTTGTCAGGTGTTTTGAGACATCACCTACTGACATTTCTGAAGAAATAAATTAGGTATAAGCTTATAAATCTGGTGGAACCCAAAAATTAGTTTCTTGTGCCCTTGCAGGCTCCTTCAGGAGCAGGGAAACAAGAAACTACATTCATATTATGGTTATTTTGGTACATGATTTTATGAGATTTGCATGGCTAAATTTTCATAAATGTATTGTCAGGGCTGAACAGATATCTTAATTCAGCAGACAGAAGTATCCCCTTGTCTGTTATCTGTATATTTTACTGAAGGTGAGCCTCACTGCAAATTAAATCTGAGTCTGCTTAATGAATACGGAATACAGATGTAATTATTTCAAAATTGAGATACAATGTTAATTCCTTTTTTGTTTCAGAATGATAAAGGAGATTTTGAGTACAGGTACCTTTTTGTCCAATTGGAAGATTATCCTAGAAACACAATCATAATTGAAGATAACAGATATGACTAACAAATGAACTTCGAGAAGCCTTTTGATATATTATAGTGTGATTTTTATATAGCTGCTGCAAATGTTGTAAGTTGTAGTTTAATAGAGATACTGTGTTTATCCAACTTTAAGACAATACAAGTTGACCTTCCTTTTCAGAGGAAAGTAATAAGGAAACTGTTTTATTACTTGTCCAGATAAACGTCCTATGTCCAGTTCTTCAACATAGATGTAACTGTTTCTCCCGTCTTTTTATAATGGCATGTTTAGGTTCGGAGAATGCTTTTTGGCAACTAGTAATTGCACTTTATCTTCTGTCTATACCCAAAAGCTGGTCCCAGAAACTATATCCTCTGTATGCTACACATAATCCATTATATGAGAGATTGGAGGTTCTCATGACTGTGCAGATGAAGATTATAGTCATCTGGGATGTGACACCATGTAGTCTGTAGCACATCCACCATCCATGATATGTATACAGTGGCCATCCTGTAGTGCACTCAGTTTCACCTGTTACTTCACGACATGTTTCGGCAACATAGTGCCATCATCAGGTGCCCTAATTATGTTAATCTATTGCATTGCTTGCCCTCATATGTCTTCACAACACCATTTAAAAAGTATTTAAAAGGTGCATATTTGTCAACTATAATAAATTTACACTCACTAAAACTTAAGATTATTTATCTTATGTGTCTTAATTAAAACTTGTGTGTGGATTACTGTACTGTAAACCGTACAGTAGCCAATATTCAAGAATTCATCGTTCAAATAGTCCTCCGTTGGGTAATAGCGCCTCTAAATAAGTAACTTCAATTCCCTTGTGAACTGATTTTTTTGTTTTCTATTTCTTTTATGTTAGGCAATTTGTTGTAAAAGATACAGCCAGCTACTGAAGGTTTACTATTATAAAGTTCTAAGTTGTGCCCATATATATGATAGTCTTTATTATTTCTTGTGTTATATGTATGTATTTGTTCATTCACTGTGCAGTTACACTTTTTTTTACATATAGGATTGTTTCTTGTATGTATAGTGAGTATACTGTTAGTATCTTTAGATTTCTAAAGCTATCCTTGCACGATTCTAGATGTTTTAGCCTTGCAATGTATCTTACTGCCCTTTTTTGGAGTATAAAAATTCCTAATGTTATATTTTAGCGTCCTGTTGCACTGATTTAAGTCCATGATTTATTTAATCCGTCTTGCAGTGCATACACTCATTTAACTCCTTCTCTCCCTCNACTCAAAACGAAGACAGAACACACACACATACCCAGGAAGCCCAACAGTATAACACACGCAGTCGCAGGAGCACGACACAACAAAAGCACAACACACAAGATAGTGAAGGAGTGCTCCAACAAAGGAGAATGGGCGTGACTGACGTAGTGAGGGGCGACGTAGCGATGTGGTATACTGAACAATTTTAATATTTTAACGTTTGACAATGTATATGATAGATACATATTTTAGTTATTTTAATGTGTGAACATGGCATGCAATGAACTGGTTTGACGTGGTTAAGTAAGCACCTGAAGATGGCATTATTATGCCGAAACATGTAGTGCGAGGGAGAGAAGGAGTTAAATGAGTGTATGCACTGCAAGACGGATTAAATAAATCATGGGTATAAAAATTCTTCTAGTGAGGGTCTTAGCACTATGTCCCCATACTATTATTCCATAAGATAGATGAGGATAGATCAAACTGTAATACAACATTCTTCTTTCATTTAAATTGAGTATTTTTGATAGCTTGTTAATTATGAACAGTTAGGGCTAATTCTACTGCAGGTATTTGTGCTTTTTACATTTGATATTTCCCTGTTCTTTATTAGGACTTTTAGATTACTTTCCTGCCTGCATTGTTTTGTCTGGAAGAGAATATAATGAGTTTAGATGGATTTATAAATAAATTATTTGTCTCAAAGTATTGCTCTACCACTCCTATATTATCTGAAGTCATGTTTTGGAGCTCATTCATATCTTGTCTTACATTCAGTCTTGATGTGTCATCAGCATACATTATTACTCTGCCTTGTGTTAGATATGGGATATCGTTTATATACAAGATGAAGAGTAAAAGGCCAAGGACCGATCCCTGGGGAACTCTGTATCCTACTGGGAGGCTACTTGACAAATGTTCTTTCATACGATTGCCTTCTGTGTGTGTTACTTTTACGTGTTGAGTTCTGTTTATGAGATAGGATTTGATTAGCTTATGTGGTATACCACGGACTCCATATTTGTATAATTTATCCATGAGAATGTTATGTCGAATACAGTCAAAGGCTTTTGATAAGTCTAATAGTACACAGTTGCATTTTATTTTATCATTCAAACTTTCTATTATGTTTTCAATAATTGTGGCAATTGCATCGTTAATAGATATATTTTTCCTAACTCCAGACTGAGATTTATTAAGTATATTGTG